TCTTTGTTTCATTCAAGTCGTCAATGGACTTATTGGCTGCATATGTGGCACGTGTATGAGGAAAAAGGTTGGTATGGAGTAAAAGGTATCAGAGTGCTTTGCATTCTTACCATTTCCATATTTTAGGCTCTGATAATGGTACATGATCAGAGAGATATGCAAAGCCCATGAACGAGAACCTCTGGAGAGCGGAGGCTGTTCAGATGCATTTGCACATTGTCAGTCTCTCCATCACGTTATAGTCTGGGACAGCTCAGCTCTCAGATACTGCAAAACAGATGAGAAGTGTGATCTATTGGCATAGCCAGCATGGTTGTTTTTCCTATTTATTTATCATACTTCCTATATGATAAAATGTAATGACTGTCCAGTATGTGTAAGTGAGAAAGATGAGGATTAGAGGCAGTTTTAATTGGTAGTAAAAATGTTGTTTCACAAAACAGTAGAAAACCTCTTAACAGCTTCATTTATCACCATTGCTTCCTTTCCACTGTTTATTTTCATTGTACAAGATGTTTGCACTACATCTGATATCCCTGTGGAATATTAATCAATCATTTTTCATTCATTGCCTTTCAGACAAATATTTTGGGAATGTGAACAACCTGCAGGGGATGCCAGGACATGCCCTGAACTGCAAATTCATGTTTAATAAGGATAGTGCATTGTGCTGTATTTATGGGGGGAAGAAAGAAACCCCCAAATATTCAGGAGTTTCAGGAGGGTACATTGCTTTTTTTTTTTTTCTTTTTTTTCTTTTTTAATAAAGAAGTCAAGATGTCAAGATGGAAAATGGCTAGATCATTTAAATCTGAGACTCCAAATTTTCATCTCTCTAAATATTCCTTCTAAATCTCAGGTACTGCAATAACACAGATCTGTCTGGTCCCAACTGCTGTGCTTGTGCTTAAAATGTAGATGTCCCCAGATAAAAGCTCACCTCTTGCCCTCTTGTGTATATGGGAAACAACCTCTGACAATGTACGCATTTTATCAGCTGCACAAAGCAGATTGTAAATAGCTCTGGCTGGATGTAAAGAGCTTCCCTTTCCCCCCAAACCTGCCTTAAGCTCACCTGTCTGTTCCTGTTAACTTGCTACCCAGGACCCAGGTTTACATTAGGACCTGCAGATACGATGTTGAGCAGCATGAGGGCAAATGAGGCACATGCTTTTCAGCCTCCCTGGAGCCAAGTCCCCTTCTTCTTTGGTATCTTGCTGTCACGTCTGGCAAAATCCAGTGCAATCCTAAATCAGTTCTTCAGAACCTGATAGACATGGTGGCCCTAGAGTAGCATTTGGATCAATTTAGATGGTAGGTTTTGGAACAAGAGTTTAACTATGTCCGGTTTAACAAAAAGAAGGAGAACCTCAGCATCAATTTTGCCCTCACGAGACAGCGTAGGAGTCTCCTGAATTTCCACACAGGGCTGTTCTAGAACAGATCACGTGCACAAGCAATTAACTGGTGAAGATAAACATTAAATCAATACTGGTAGTAATTACATGCAGCTTAGTAACAAATAAGAGATACAATCTGCAAGGCAACAAATTGCATCAGTGGTGGTGTTACAGCAACAAGGATCCCAACAAGGATCTGCGTAATTCTCCATCATCAACCAAGATCAAGCCCTTGATGCTGAAGTCCATGACTGGCAAATTTCAGGAACACCATCAGCTCAGCGACTTCCTCCAAGCTCAATTGTATGCCCTTATTTCCCTGAGTCAGGCAAACTGTAAGATAATTGTTTTCCATCCTGAATGCATGCACACAGTTATGAAAACTTGAATATATTTAAAGTACTTGGAATCCATTTTTCAAAGAGAGGTATTTATATTTTCTCTGTCAAATGTTGTTCATATTTATGCATTGTTGCAAGTCATCTGAACAGACCCAGAGTTTCCAGACACACACAGCCGTCTGTGCCGTCCTCCAGTGCAGCACACAAAACCCCTCACACAAACTGGTGAAGGAAATGTCAGTTGTGCTAAGTTGAGGAGCACACAGACGCTTCCTTGGAGCACAGCTTCAGTCCCAGAAGCAGGAAACCTGCGTTATAAAGTTTAGAAGCACCTTTTGTGAAACAAGGGTAAGACCTGTGGAGGGTTGTGAACATGCCTAGGTGCATCCAAACTTGCCAGGTGGCTTAAAAAGCTGACATGCATTGTAAGCCGCAAAGCCTGGGCAATGTACCACCCAAAGCAGACATCAAACTAAAGCCTACTGATTCAGCCAGGAAAAAAGCCAAAGAGGCAGCTAGAAGTAATGTCCAGCATGCAGTCAGACTGAGAGATACTCCACCTGCAGCAGAAAGGCTATTATGAGCTCTTCGTGGTCCTTAACCATCAGCCCTGCCCTCATCGTTTGTCTCCATGACTTTTATCTCAATGAGAGAGCCAGTTTGGGCTGTGCTAGCACCAGGATAAGGAGATACCCACTGGTATGTATCATCCCCACCACAGAGGGGTAAATGTGCTGCCGCCATCTGCTTGTGCCAAGCTGCCCTGCCCTGGGGGTGTTTGGTGCCATGGTCTGTGCACTGGGGATGTTTGGTGCCACGTCTGTGTACTAGTGAGGATGCCATCTGTCCTGACCACTCTGTAATCACTGGCTTCACTGATACGTGTAAATATTAAATATTGTTATTCTGAAGTTATTTTCTGGTTTCATTTGTGTGACCTAAGCGGCTTTTGACTTCAAACTAGCTCCAGTAGGAACAAAGACAGAGAATTCAATATTATTCTACAGCTACCTTTTATCTATCTATCTATCTATCTATCTATCTATCTATCTACCTACCTACCTACCTACCTACCTACCTACCTACCTATATCTGTGTCTTCACCCCAAAATATAATGGTCAAAAACTCACACGGACATAATGACCACATATTCATTTAATTTTTCTATTTGTGACTCACCATTGAGTCTCACCACACAGATTCACACAAGGAGCAAAAATGTGTTACTTTCTAATTGAATTACTTCTCTTCCTTCTGCAATTTTAACTTGTGCAGATCAGCCCCCTGCGGAGCTGTGTAGGTTGGAAAATACTTAAAACAAGTGAGAAAAAATGTGTTTCTGGGATTGATTCGGAATAGGAATAAAACTTGAGACCAAGCACGCTATTTGAAAAGCTTTGTTTAGAGACCAATGCTCTGATGTTTTAGCTGCCAGGGTCAAGGACATGATTCAGTACTTGGGCTGGAAACCACAGGCTGGTTCACAGGGTCTCATTTCAGGAGAAACCGTCTGAACATTTCAATGCAAATGGCTCAGATGCCTCAGGCCCCCATGCTCTGTTTCTCTTGACACACAGAGGGAAGCAAGCCAGTAGAAAGGTTGGCCCCTACAGATGTCCTTGTGCCATGGCTTCTGCTCTGCTGTCCTTGCCCAGTCTTGTTTCTCTCCCTCAGTGGAGCTGCTTGTGGGCAAACACTCCTTTAGAAACAAGCTTTAAAAAAAAATCCTGAAAGAAATGATAAATCAATTTAAAAAAAAAAAAAAAAAAAAGCCATTTCCAAATTTTCAGAATACTTTATTATATTTCCCACAGCGCACAAGCTCAGTGGGCTTGTCCCTTTCCAGAGCAGCCACAGGGGACAGCCACCCTTCTGAAATGCCCCTTCCCCAGGGGACACCTCTCACCCCCTCAGCCACCCTCTCCTCTTGTCCCCATGGGCCTCAGAGGGGTGTCTGAAGCTCATCATCAATAGTTAGCACATTTAACACAGAAGACAGAAGCTTTTTTGAAGGCACAAAGACATTTTGTTCATCTTTTTTTCCAGTCGGTTAGCTGCAAAGCTGAGTAACTGTAAGTGCTCTCTACAGTGCAGATCATTTCCAGCATAGACAGAAAACTTCTGTGGCACCCAGCACTCCTCAATATCTTCCAGACACTCGTTCATTTTTATCTGTTTAAATTCCTTACTTCAAAGTTTGTGCCATCAAGGGCAAGTGATAGGAGGACAGTAAAAGCCCAGTTGAGCATCCCACTGGTTTGTCCTTAGGGCCATTGGATATCCTTGCTGCAGGTCTAGAAGGCTTGTGCCTCCCACAGGAGCTCTGCAATGTCTGCCTGCCCATGGGGACATCTCAGAGGCTTGAGAGCATCTCAGGTAGCACCAGACATCTTGATATTACCAGCCAAATCCAGCCCTGAAACACTTCTGGCTACCTCAACACTGCTCTTATAAGCAGACCTGAGTATAGAGATCTGCCTTTACCCTGTCCTGCCTCGTAGGGTGACCTAAAATAGGTCACTGAATCACATCCCAAAATTGCATATTTCTCCCCCTGGGTTAGGCAGGGAGCTCGGAGTGGCTGGCACAGCGGCTGGCACCCTGAGCTGCAGCCCTCCATGGCGAGCAGGAGGTGAACCCCACCTCCCACATCCTTCAGTAATTGGGATTTTGTCTTTTTCTTTTCTTTTTGAAATAGATGCAAGAGCTGAGAGTCACCTAGTGGCAAAAGGGCACAATGACAGACTCAATGAGGAATCGATCTTAATACAATCTGATGCTTGTATAATCCTTCTTGCAGGCACTATACACCAGGAAAACCACCCCAGTATCAGGAGAATTACCTTATGCACAATTTTTCTCTAGTCTCCTCCATCCCAGTGTGTAGTTTTTACTTTTTTGCTTGTGTTTTGCCCTACCACATTTGCCCTACACCCCTCTAGGTCTTTGTCCTGGTTTCAGTTAGAATTAATTTTCTTCCTAGTAGCTGGTGGAATGCTGTGTTTTGGCTTAGGATGAGAAGAGTGCTGATAACACCCCGATGCTTTAATTGTTGCAGAGCAGTGCTTATACTAAGCCAAGGACATATCAGCCTTTTGCTCTGTCCTGCCAACGGGCAGGCTGGGGGTGCAGTAAGAGCTGGGAGGGGACAGACCCAGGACAGGTGACCCAAACTAGCCAAAGGGGTATTCCATACCATCTGACGTCATGCTAAACAATATATAGGGGTGGCTAGCTGGGGGGAGGGGGCCGGACTGCTCGGGGTTAGGCTGGGCATCGGTCAGCGAGTGGTGAGCAATTGCATTGTGCATCACTTGTTTGTACATACTATTACTTTCGTATTATCACCATTGTATCATTATTATTATTATTGTTATTATTATTTTTGTTATTATTATTTTCCTGTCTTATTAAACTGTCTTTATCTCAACTCATGAGCTTCACTTTCCATTTCTCTCCCCCGTCCCAGAGAGGGAGGGGGGAGGGTGAGCAAACGGCTGCGTGGTGTTTAGCTGCCGGCCGGGTTAAACCACGACAGTCTTTAAAAGAAGTTTCCTTTCAGATTTCCATGCCTGCTACTTTTTCCTTTTTTCGTTTTCCCCAAGAAAAAGTGGAATCAGTCCAGATGTTTTCTGCAGATGTCAAAGAAGAAATTTGATATTGGTAGACCTGGACACGATTGATGCCGTGCCAGTTATTTCCCTCCAGGTGTCTCTGACTGCAAATAGTGTTTTAAAATATGATTTATTATTTTTTTAAGAAAAGAAAAAATGTTTAAAATCCACTTTGAGCAAAGAAGACAGCTCACAGAAACCAATGTCTCCATTGCTCCATTGCCACCCACAGCTGCAGGTGCTACCACTTTTTAGCAGCTACTTTTAAGGTGAAAAAGAATGCTTCCAGCTATCACCCAGAAGATGTGCCTTTAAACTGCAGTGTCCCTTTTTGTACATAAATAACTGGGTCAAAGTTAAAACCCATCACTCAGTCAAAAATGATTATGAATATAAAGGAAGATTTCCTTTCATGGCAATTTAGCTCTGCCACTGTCACTTCCAAGAAGAGCTGCTCCTGGATGTCAGTAGCAGATGGCACAATGCAGAAAGCCTTCCTAAACATTTGGGCTTTCAAATTCCTGCTCAAAGCCCATCTGTGGAGAAGAAATTCTTGATTTCCCCATTGAAAGGAGCTACTCACTCCATTGATGAATGAAAGCCAAGCAAGTGCCCTAAATAGTGCTGGTTTTATACAGTCAGTTTTTTTAGAACCACATCTGGACAGAATAAAGGGCAACACAAACTGTGTACACAACAACTCTATAAATGAAACCAACTTAATTCCTTAATGCATATAAGAGTTTTTCTCAGTATTTTGTCTGTTTAAAGGGAGCTTCAGAAAGGAGGGAGGGAAACCCTGCACCTTTCCTGCTGCTTTATTGTATGGTCTATCAGCACTGGGCTCTGCTGCCTGTTTTCAGCAGTGAAACAGTGATGTGCTGCCTTCGGATATCAGAACACAGCTCCTTCAGTGGATCAGTGCTAAATCTTCTTTCCCTGCTCCCTAGCTTTATTTTGGTTATTACAGTGGATTTAGTTCAGTTAACTTTAGACAAATTCTTAGCTCTATCTGCTGTGTTAGCCTTGTACCTAGAACCTAGAGAAATACAGATTATTTTCATACCACTGCATATCAGACAAAATATAACATTTCCCCCATTTAAGCCAAGCTATCTTTACCCCTCACTTCAGTGCTCACTGACTCTCAGCAGCACCAATTCCTGCTCTCTTGTTCCTTTCTCCCTGCAAAAGTTGGGTATTTCCTGAAGAAGGGGAAAGACTGAATTGCCAGCAGTCCTCCAAGACAGAGACTCTGCATCCTATTCTCAAGATTTTTGGCTTTATAGCACTGTTTCACACTGCATAATCTCTTGCAAAGTACAGTAAACTAATACTTAGCAGTTTCTTTAGGAGGCAGCACTATTTTTCTTTTTTCTGATTGTGAACTCTATCAAATAATATTGTCATCAATCCACTATCCATCTCTATGACCTAAATTCAGCAACAGAAAATGGCTCTAAATATACCAGGATTGGTATCTCTGAGTGTGTTTTTTACATTCACTTTGGCTACGGGAATCTGGGCTTCATGGAAAAGCAAAAAGGATCAGCAGAACAGAAACCCGACTGAAATGGCCCTTGTTGGAGGGAGGAATATAAATGTTTGCATTGGATTGTTTACTGCAACTGGTAAGTTTTCTTAAAGGACTTCTTTAATTCTTCTTAAAACACATGCATTACACAGATTTGGGGGACTTCTTCCTTTCAAAGCAGGTTACCTCCTTTAATGTCAGGGCAGATTTTACTTGAGTGTGGCTTTAAAGGAGTATGGTTTCATGAATCATTTTGGGATGGATTCTTCTAAACCTCTTCACACTAAGCAGAACCTAATGTTTATGTAGATTCTTTTAAATTAAAGAGCTTAAATTAAGAGTTTAGTTAAGAGTTGAAGAGTTTAATTTAGGAGTGCCTGAAGAATGTGACAGTTTTCATTAAGGAGGAGTGTGGTCTTAATCTTGAACCAGTTTCTGTTATCCGGCATTTTACACCTGTAACAATCCAGTTTTGTGTGGAATAAATTGCTCCTGGTGGTGAGCACTGGGGTCTCACCTAGTGGGAAATACAAAGAGAAGTTTCCCCACTGACTGCTGATCTCTTCTTCCCTTTTCTCTCCTTGCTGCCTGGCATTATCCGGAATTTCCTTTCCTGACTCTTTTTTGTCAAAGACTATCCAAGAGATACTTGTCTGGGTAAGATATTTAAGCCCATGCTGTAGGTTTGCTATTCTGACTGCAATGTCTTCTTACATTTGTTTTCCTAATGTCTACTTTGTCAGCCTGTGTAAGCAATACTCATGAAGGATGGTCTATCAGCCTCAGCAGAATAACAAAAGCAGTTCTATTTTCTCCAGCAAAAGCATTTCACTTAGAAAAATGAAATGCAAATTAAGTATATTCAAATTGCCTCTAAATGTCTAGACACTGAGCTTTTCCACGCACACACTGATATTTGTTTTGAACATGGGGAATTACATAGGGTAAGATTCTAACGCTGTTACCCACGCTCAGCAGTACATCTCTATTAGACTTATGAACGAAAAGAGGAGTGGGATTAAATGCTTGTATGAGGAAACCATTACAACCTCTCACTGTTCTACAGGACTAGATGAGGATGCACACCATAAGACTTACCTCTTCATCTTTCGTGTTTACAGCCACCTGGGTTGGAGGAGCATATATCAATGGCACAGCTGAAATTGTCTACCTGCCTTCAAAAGGACTGCTCTGGGTCCAGGCACCCCTGGGATTTGCCTTGTCCCTTGTCATCGGTAAATAATTCACACAGCAATCAGGACACAAAATCTTTCTAAAAAATCATGAGTTTATTAAGTTGTGTAACAGTCTAGAGTACACTTTAAAGGTGATTTTGTTCGCTCAGTCTCTGATAGATCCAAAATAAGCACTTATAATGATGTCTTCTTAACTGGAACATCAGGGTAGCTTGGAGCTAGCATAGAGTTTTGTCTGTTTAAAGCAATTCAGTGGACAAAAATCTTATCTGAGAACTTTGGGAGCATGTGGCTATGTGGATATAACTTTTTCACCACAGCCTGTTAGTCAGAGACTAGTGAGAGCATCAGGATCATTTACATTTTGTCTTTGAAACTTTGGTGTGACGAATCGATACCATTTTGATTTCCCCACTGAAGAGTCTCATCTCAGTATGAACGTGTGATGCATCCAGCTGTGTCTCACCTAACAGCTGTTGTTGAAACTGTGACCCACAGCCTCCTCGACGAGCTACTTTTGCAATATCCTATATCTGTTCCTAACTCCAAGAATCACCGGGCTCCTGCTGAGGTTCAGCTGTCTTGCTGAGACCAAGGTTTTTTCCAGTTAAATCTCACTGGAAGTTATACCGTAACTCTCTAGGCACACGGGAAGATGAAAGTGAGGAGACCTGTGTAGACCTTGCACAGGGCTTTCAGAAAAAGCAATAACCTTTTTTTTTTCTCAAGTCAGAGAAAAGAGTGCAACTGACGTGAATATGAATCAGGCTTGGAAATATAGTGCCAGCATTTCTTATGTGAGTAATTCTTACTAATGAAATTGAGGAGTGCAGGTCTGATCCTGCAATCTTTACTCAGGTCAGTAGTGCCCAGACAAGCAGTCCTGTTGGCTTCAGGGTTAGGCACAATACGTATTCTTTGCTTTTAATGAGACAGCTGCGTGACTGAAGACTAATATTTAGATGAAGGTGGGTGAAACTCAGCTCCGTGCACAGATTAAAACAACATAATTCTGGGAAGAGACAGTGAAGCCACCAAAATGAAAATGTAACCAGAAAAGCAAGGTATATCAACATGTTGAATCACATGGTCAAGGACAGAAGTTTGTCTATTTTTAGCCAAATAGGCATTTTCAATACCTCTTTCTGCCAACTGACATTTTCTAGGGGAAGCATTTCAGAAGACTGTGTGTCTTTGGTGATGAAGAGGAGGCTACATGCAGGTGTCCTCTGCGCTAATGCATGAGTTCCTGTTAGGGTCAATGGAGATGTCCTCCATACACTCAGTGTAACTAGATTTCAGCTCAGTCTTAGGCAGACATTTAAGACCAAATTTCATTTGCTGAATCACAGGTATTTTATGCTACTTTGGATGCCCTAGGGGATCCTATCTGACATAGAGTAGCCATTCCAGAATCATATCGGTCTGCCAAAAGTGGAGGATCATATCTGCCAGCTGCAAGCAGATGTCCCTGATAACCTAGAACCTATCAGATGGAAGAAATCCCCCATTTAAGCAAATGAATTGAGGTCCTGGCACTTGGTTGGCTGCATTGTTCCCTGTGACCCAGTATGTACAAATTTCAAACTCACTAAAATGGTCTGAAATACACCCTATACTAGACTAGACTAGACTAGACTAGACTAGACTATACACTATAGTATTCTTACATTTTCCTGCCATATAACACATGCAAAATGCTATTAAAATGTCATCACTTCTGACAGGTGGTTTCTTCTTTGTAAATCCAATGCGATCCAAGGACTATGTGACAGTGATGGATCCCCTCCAGGAAACATATGGGAATGTGATGGGAAGCTTACTCTTCATTCCTCCACTGTTAGGAGAGATGTTCTGGTTTGCAGCTATCCTGGCATCCCTGGGTAAATAACTGCTTCACTGTTACATTCATTGAAGGTCATACAGCACAAATAGAGTGCAATACACATGGTAATTGAGTTGGACAAAGTTGTGGGAAGTTGTGCTTCATGTCTCCTTTTCTGAGAGGAACAAAAGCATTTCTAATTTCTGGAAAATATATTTTTAGATTTAAAACGAGCAATGGTAGTGCCATATCTATGCATGATATTATAACAGAGAGTTCTGGCAATAAGATTTAGTACCTTCATTTGCCTGTGGGAGAGAAGAAGCATTAAGTCAGACTGACTTGGCTAAGGCCATGCAGCAAGGTAGGGGCAGGAGCAGAAAGGGAACGTGGGCTCCCCTGGGTCCTCACTCTGCACACTCTCTTCTAGACCATGCATTCCTCAACCAAAATGGTGTACTGGCATCCAGGGAATAATGTAACCTTTATTCTGTATTCTGCATGTATGAAATCTGTGTTAAAATACTTGACCACTACCTTCTTCTGTAGGAGCAACAATGAGGGTCATCTTGGATATTGGAGGCTCTTTGGCTATCATCCTCTCAGCATCCACTGTCATACTCTACACTCTACTGGGAGGCCTCTACTCTGTTGCATACACGGATGTCATCCAGCTGGTTTTCATTACCCTCAGCCTGGCAAGTCCTGTGCATTTCTTTGTTACCAGTTTCCTAACCTAGGGACAAAATCCTGCTCTTTTCAGTATGTCTCAGGCCAAAAATAATTCCATCAGTACTGTTCCTTGCCCTACAGATCCTCTTCAGGTCTCCTGAAAGGTCTTACAGTCCTTAGGCATTTTGGACAGTGTCCACGCGAGCTATTGGTCTTTCTGGGTAACAAGTTGCTCACACGTAAGGTCAGCAGAGCCTATCCAGAACAATCTTGGCTGGAAAGGAGAGAGACCTGTGTACTGAAGGCACCAATTGACCTGAATTAGTGACTCATATTCTTGATGATGCCATGAACAAGAAACATGTAGATTTAGGGTAAGGGAGGAGGAAAAGGAAGTCTCTGAGTGTGGGTTTAATCTAATATTTTATATTTTTTCTATATAATATTTTATATTCTACACCTAACTTGATTTCAATGTCTGAATAAATTTCCCTAAAACAAGAATCTTGGGGAAATGGTTAACTATTTCCATTTCTTCCCTAGTGGGTCTGTATCCCCTTTGCCATGGTGAACTCTGCAACAGAAAGTATTTATTACACCGCAACTCATGAATATTACCAAGACCCTTGGATTGGAAAAATAGAAAAACAGTATCTTGGAAGGTGGCTGGACGACTTCTTCTACCTGGTATGGAATGTTTCTTGGAAAGGTGGTTGGGAGAAGAAAATGTGCAGAAGTTTCTGTATGGAAAGCTTATGGGTTCTTCCAGCTGGTAGTGCTACAATGCACAGGTGGCAGGGGCAGGATGAAGTGTAAAACCTTTCCTCAGCCACTTTGCAGCACACTGAATGGACTGGGGAGATCCAGGGCTCAGCTCTGGGTAGGAAAGAAGAGGTAGGTACACTCCATCCTGCACCCATGTGAAGGTATGCAATGTCTTACCCTTGAGTAACACCATCCAGGCAACTAATTCCTGGCACTAAATGAGGCACTTTGTACCTTTTGAGAGGTAGGTCTTGCAGCCCTAGTCATGTGTTTTTAACATAATTCTGTAAAATTCCCTCTATTTGAGAAAAAAAAAAAAAAGTCTGTTAAAATGGCACTGCTGCATATCATCAGCAAGCATGGTGCCATTGGTTCCACTGCACAATCCAGCTTTTGAGCCCTCAAGTATAGCCAAGACTGTAGTGGGTTGTTAAGATCTCACTAGGGTGGTACTAGAGACACACAGAAGCTTGAGTTTGTTTGGTGAGGATAGAAACTTCAGATTTTATCTGATGAAATTCGTCTGCTAAGCAATTGAAAACGGTGACTTTTTAAAAAATAATTTTTCTTAAGATTATTTTCTAGCTAACTTTGGGCAGATTTTTATAGAAGCTACATTCCTGAAAAGCTTCTCTTCTGTTGTCCTTCCTCTGATTCTCTCTCAGCATGCCAAACAACCCATTTCTCAGCTTTCTCAATCTGCTAAAGCTTTAATCTGTTTTGATCAAAATTTCACATCCATTGCAAGTAAAACAAAGGAAAAAGACACCCTCAATGAGAAACATTCAGCCTCAGTAGCTAAAGTTGGGCAAAGGTTATGCATTTGAAGTGAGGTTTTAATTACAGGAAAGAATATCATCCATCTGAAAGGATGTATGATGCCCTACAGCAGTCAGGAACCAGTGGGGACTGTTGCTAACATCTGGATGTTTCAGGTGCTTGGGAGCATCCCATGGCAAACCTATTTCCAAAGAGTGCTCTCAGCTGCCTCGCCAGGCCAGGCCAGGTTCATCTCCTACCTCTCTGGACTGGGGTGCTTTTTAATGGCCATCCCCTCCGTGCTCATTGGTGCAGTTGCAGCATCAACAGGTAAAACTGAACTGCTTGTCTCTGAATAATGAATGTGTTTTTGTCAAAAGTGATTAAAACAGGATCCAAATAAGTCCCAAATTAGATTTCCAATTACCTCAAACCAATTACCCTAAATACCCTCTATGGGAGACATGGCTGCCAAGCTAGAAGCTTGTACCAGAAATGTGGAACACTTTGAGGTTCAATGCATGACTTACAACAGCCCCAAAACATGTTTAAATCTTTACGGTGAAATGATTTTTCATACATCCTGTGGTGAGGAAGGAGGAAGGCAGAACATGTAAAACACTGCATAATCCTCTTTTCCAAGAAAAGTTATGTTTGCTTCTGTTAATGTCTTCTGCATGTAAGACCCAGTAGTATTACTACAGATTGCTTTTAACGTTCAGGAGAAAACCTGCCTGGAGGAATCAAGATATTTCAGTCCCTACAGCCAGGAGTTCAGTCCTGTGTTGGCTGTGAACAAGGGTTAAAGAGCAGCCAGATCACGAGACACTTATAGAAACGGCTTGAATTTACAAATTTGTCTGTCATTAGGGACATCAGAGGAAAATTCCCTTCTCCTCTGAGAGACCTCAGGTCTAGAAGTCTGATCTTTAAGGATCCCACTCATGGAAACACACAAAGCTTCTTCTATAGACATTTATCTATGTCTATAGACATTTCTATAAACTTTTCAACTATTTCTATAGATGCTACTGGGGAGAAGGAAAACTTCTGTATGGTGAGAGTTACAGCATGCTTAGGGATAACAGAAGAGATAATAAGATAATCCGACCAATGAATAAAAGTCCTAAAATTCTGAGTGGGCTTCAGTCCTTAGCCCTCTTGTGACTGGTCCTGGTGGAAAGGCAGCTTCAGAGAGCTGAAATATCAATGAAGGATTTTCTGTGACTTTTCCTTCTTCTGTCTTAAAGACTGGAACAAGACAAGCTATGGTCTTCCAAGTCCATATGAGAGAGGAGAATCTGCTATGGTACTGCCGTTTGTTTTACACTATCTCTGCCCAGCATACGTCTCCATTGCTGGCTTAGGAGCCATCGCTGCTGCTGCAATGTCTTCTGCAGACTCAGCACTTCTTTCTGCCAGCTCCATGTTTGCTCACAACATCTACAGAAAAATCCTGAGGAAACAGGTACTTGGTTACAGCACTCAGCAGCTTTGGTGTCAGGTTAGATGCTTTAGTTTCAGGACAGGTGCAAATCCTTTCTGCATTGCCCACAATTAGAGGTGTTGTCCTTCAGCTGCTGAAGTTCTACAGAGCTTGAAACATAGGTCACAGAAGAAAGAATGGTTTGGGTTGGAAGGGACCTTAAAGCCCATCCAGCTCCACCCCCTGCCATGGGCAGGGACACCTCCCACCAGCCCAGGTTGCCCAAAGCCCCATCCAGCCTGGCCTTGAGCACCTCCAGGGATGGGGCATCCACAGCTTCTCTGGGCAGCCTGGGACAGGGCCTCACCACCCTCTGAGTGAAGAATTTCTTATGTATATCTAACCTAAATCTCCCCTCTTGTAGTTTAAAGCCATTCCCCCTTGTCCTGTCACTGCACCCCCTGACAAAGAGTCCCTCCCCAGCTTTCCTGTAGCCCCCTTTAGGTACTGGCAGGTCGCTGTAAGGTACTCCCTGGGGCCTTCCCTTCTCCAGGCTGAACAACCCCAACTCCCTCAGCCTGTCTTCACAGGAGAGGTGCTCCAGCCCTCTGATCATCCTTGTGGTCCTTCTCTGGACTTGTTCTAATACTTCCATGCCCTCCTTGTGCTGGGGGCCCCAGAGCTGAACGCAGGGCTCTAGTTGGGGCCTCACAAGAGCAGAGCAGAGGGGGACAATCCCCCTCACCCCGCTGGCCATGCTGCATTTGATGCAGCCCAGGACACGGTTGGCCATGTGGACGCAGCGAAGGCTTGGTGGGAACCAGCCTGGGGCAGGGCAATGCTGTTGTAATGTTACAATCTCATGTTTTTCAGGCTACAGAAGGGGAGGTCTTATGGGCCATGAGGATCTCCATGCTGGTGTTTGGGGCCGGGGCTGCTGGCCTAGCTTTTTACTCCAGCTCTGTCTACGACCTCTGGTTCCTCAGCGGGGAGCTGGTGTATGCCCTGCTCTTCCCCCAGCTGTGCTGTGCCCTCTTCGTTCCCAGCACCAACACCTATGGCTCAGCTGCTGGCTTCTTGGTTGGGCTCCTCCTGAGGCTGCTGGCAGGGGAGCCTGCCCTGAAAATCCCCCCTGTCATCCACTACCCAGGCTGCACCTTCATGAACGGGACCTACACGCAGCTCTTCCCCTATAAAACATTCACCATGCTTCTCACCCTGGGGACTATCGTTGCTGTTTCGTACCTGGCTGTGGTTTTGTTTCGGAGAAACCTCCTTCCCCGCAGATGGGATGTCTGCAATGTGCTGGGGGAAACCCGCACCCTCGTCCCCCTGCGCTGGGTGGACAAATGGACAGGTACACAAACAGCCGCACTGCAAGAGAATCGGGATTAATTGTGGGGCCTCGTTTGAAAGGACCCACTGCACTCTGCAATTAGCGTCTGGAGCTGCTCTTCCTTTTGCTTTCTCCAGCAATGAATTATTTAAAGTCCTCGCGGAGTAATAAAGATGCAATCCATTCATGCAAGGAGAGTGAGTGAGCTCAAAGTCTGACGTGATTAAAGGCGCGCGGTGGTGGAGCATGATCCTGTGGCGGTGACCACGGGGCACCACGGGCCCAAGCTGCTCCAGGGTGTCCCTGATTCCCCACCCGAAGGCAAGGCCCCAACATTTATGGCATGCTCGAGTCACATACTTTTCTCACCACAAAGGAAACACGTTGATGTTTAATAGATTAGGCATTCTTGATTTAAAGGGAAAAAAAAAAGTGAGTAAACCTGTTCCCATTGACACAGCTAGAGTTTTAGTGTAAACTTCCCCAGGGAGGGCATTAGATATAAAACACTGATTGCTGAATGCCATGCAATCACCACAGCAGTCGATCAGCAATATCAGTTCTACACTGTTCTTTGTATGCTTTAGAAAGCTTTCCCTGATATCACGATATCTTTTGCGTATGCTTCTCCCTAGCTGTGTTTTCAGGTCACGTAGGCAGTCTGCTGTAACGTGGCTGAGGAGAGGACATCCCCCCAACCAGGACTTGGTCTGACAGAGCAGAGGAGCAAGATCACAGAACCACAGCATGGTTTGGGTTGGAAGGGACCTTAAAGCCCACCCAGCTCCACCCCCCTGCCATGGGCAGGGACACCTCCCACCACACCAGGTTGCCCAAAGCCCCATCCAGCCTGGCCTTGAGCATCTCCAGGGATGGGGCACCCACAGCTTCTCTGGGCAGCCTGTGCCAGGGCCTCACCACCTTCTAAGTAAAGAATTTCTTCCTTATATCTAATCTAAATCTCCCCTCTTTTAGTTTAAAACCATTCCCCCTTGTCCTGTCACTATACTCCCTGATAAACAGTCCCTCCCCAACTTTCTTGTAGGCCCCCTTCAGGTACTGGAAGACAAAGCAGAAGCCTTTAATTACTGCGTTTAAAAAAAAGTGTTAGGTAGCCACTATTCACAAAAACACAACCAGCTGGAAAACTGGAGGTGGCTGGGAGATTCATGAGCAAGTGAGCTCTCTAACACTCCTGGTTAAATCACTTGTGCCGAGGTGTTACCCAAGCTGAATAGGGGGATGCTGTGAGACACCTTCACAAATTGTTGTACAGGACCTCAGAGGGCTGTGATGACAGAACAGTGCTGGGAAAAGGCACTGGCCCTGCCCTCAAGGACATGAAACCCTGAAGGCACGATCCCAAAAGATTCAAGCCACCAAGTCTTTATGGAAAAGCCCCTGGTACCACATTTGTATAAATTCTTAATGGGTCAGAAAAAAAATATGGCCCAGCTAACTATTGGGTTTGGTCCATTGCCTGAAGTCTGATGGACTGAAAGCATCCCTCAGGCTTGGGCTGTTAAGATAGGAGCTGAAATAAATATTCAGAAAGGTCCTGCAATGATGGCTGTCATTTTAAGTACAGTGGCTCACCAGGAGTCAGTCACAACCCACCCACCATGGCCAGCAGGAACTGGGCAGCCCCTCACCACAAAGCAGCAGTGGGAGATGCTGTGCATGGAAACACCTGGCACTGGAGGGACAGCACATAACAGCATGTCCACAAGACACATAACAGCATATCCACAATACCAGAGCAATGGACAGCCTGCTGAGCTGCAGGGGATGAAAGCAACACGCTGCTTGGTGAGTTGTGTCCAGCACACACCGTGCACACACATAGTGAGAAGTGATGCTGCTGGCACCGTGCACTCCTGCAGCAAACTTAGTGAGGAGCCACATGCTGCTCTGAACTGTGCCAAGGCAAGGTGCAGTGACTTGGGACAAGGATTGACAGCCCTGGGCTCTAGATAAAGCCTTGATCACTCTGCCCTTCATGGAGAACATCCTTTAAAATACCTTCTCCAGCATCATCCTCAGCAAGATGGAAATTCTGCTCCTCATCAGAAAGATTATCACATTACATTATTCTCCACCCTAGTGTTGGTAGACACCTGTGTACAGCAGTCCTGTTGACATGCTGTGTTAAATCAAGTCCAGAAATTCCTTCCTGTATATCTAGAGGCTGTCATTAATTGAAATGTGTGTTTAGAAAGCACAAAAACAAATGTTTTGAAAATTAAAAGCCCTAGGCAGTCACCCACTGAAATCTTTCACACCTGTGATTTGAGAGGGAGCATGTGAGGTCGTGCTTAGCTAAGGGAGACACCAAAGCTATCATTACCTCAGTGCCAGAAGAACCAGGCTCCTGTTAAATCACAGTTGCTATAGCTCATTCAGGAATACTCCCCCGATTTAGGGATGACCTAGTTTGGGTGCTGAACATCTCCCTGTGTGGAGCAGACCAAAACTTTCCCAATGCACTTTGCATAAGGGCCTGCTGCACATCCCTAACAAGAATGAAACTCCAAATTACTTATGTCAAGGCCAGCATCCCATTCACAGACCACCCTACCCAGCAGCTCTGAAGGGTAAATGACTTGATCTTTCTCCTCAGAAGAGCAGTCAGGCACTGGGACGGGTTGCCCAGGGAAATTGTGGTGTCACCATCCCTGGGGGTGTTCAAGGAAAGGTTGGACGTGGTGCTTGGGGACATGGTTTGGTGATGACATTGGTGGTAGGGGGATGGTTGGACCAGATGATCTTGGAGGTCTTTTCTAACCTTAATGATTCTGTGATTCTATGATCTGGAGATATCTTTTCTCTTCACCACTGAGCCCAACTTCTCCAGCTGTTCCACTGCAGAGTCCCCAAGCTTGACATTAAATCAGGCATTTTTCCTGGCAGGCAGTAGATCCCCAGCTTCCCAAGGCAGCACCAAAGTCCAGCACTGTGAGGCAGAACATTGCTGGCGAGCACCACGGTCACGTCACCACCCAGCATCACCGCAGAAGACTCTCAGCGTGTTCAAATAGGAACATCTTTAATGCTGTGGGGGGTATCTGGCACACTCAGCAGGGACACTTTGCCCTTACAAAGCTCCTCTGAATTTCATACCGCTGAAACACACTGCTTCGCGTGGTGGGACTGAAATGGGAAGGACACAATGACTGTAACTCTCCCGAATGTTTACCATTTTCCACCCTTATATGACTCCCTCCTCAGAACATCCCCCAGCAAGCTTAAAAGGAAAACATTCATCAAGGTCAGGCAAAGTTTTGAAAGAAATTAGCTGCAAGTAAAATAAATATAAAAGCAATTCTAGCCTATACTTTATGACAAAATGCCTAGTTGTTCCAGTCCAGCACACCCAATGTCCTTGAGGTGCTGCCAGCACAGGGGATAATGACCCAGTGAAATCTTTCATCTCGCAGGTTTCTGCCTCCAGTTCACTGTACCCTTTGTTTCTTTGCCCCCTCTTCATAAAAATAATAATAATAATAATTTGCTTGGACACTGTAGGGCCCCAATCTGCCTCTCCATTTGTGGGTTTGCCTCCTTTGCATCCTAAATATGCCCATGACACGATCTCTGTACAGTTCCAGTTTTCATTAACTTTTCCCAGCCTACTGGGAAAAAAAAAAAAAAAAAAAAAAAAAAAAAAAAAAAAAAAAAAAAAAGCTACTGCCTTTTTCTGACATTTTTAAGGTTAATCATACCAATAGGAACTATCCATAGTTCCTCACTAGGCATTCATGGATGCCTGGTTTATATAAATGAGAAAAATGGGAATATGAGACCTCAGAAGGGAAATCAATAACTCTTCCCCTTCTCTCTTATGCTCCATTTTAGGATTTCCTAAATGTGTCCTCCCTAGAGTATCAGCTGGGGACCAGCCAGAGAGCCAAGAAACACTCACAGGTTTGTCAGACATTCCTAACACGATAAAAAAAAGATAATTCCACATGAGCTATGGGCTGTGTGGGACCAGGATGAACTTTCCATCATTTCCACAGAAATGCCATGCTCTCTGACTTTATCCACACACGCTGTACTTCAATCTTCCCTCGCAGTTCTCAGGCTTTAGGGTTCCTTCTCATGACTCTAGTAAGGCCTTTGATGCTGCCTCCCACACCATCCCCACGGGCACACTGAAAAATAAATAAATAAAACAAAAAATCTCATTTTGCTGATTCTTAAAGCTTCTATGCAAGCCTTCCTCCCCAGGGACGGCAACACTGCTGCGGCAGTAGGTGGCTTTCTTTGACCCTCAGGTAGGTGCTAGTGTAGTTGCTTTGCAACTGGAATCTGGGCAGCTTGGAATAATAAAATGAAGGAGAAAAATGTGAACCAGAGTGAGGTTCTGTGTGCCAGACAGAGAACTGTGAACAAATGTCTTCAACACCAAAGCTTAAGAAGAATCAGTACATATGGCAAGTCTGTATGGTGTATGTGCCTAAAATGTATTTCCTATTTATGGACAATATGCCTTAGGCCACTCATTGGATTCCCCTGGGCTCCACATTCCCAACCCCTCAGGGAGGGACAGCTTCAGGTGACTCCAGGAAGGATTTTGAGGAGAAAGCCCCGTTATACCCGGAGAGCACTGGTTTTGCAAGAGCTGCTGGGCAGAGCTGGAGGGCAGTTTGGCCGGCCAGCTGGACTCCCAGCCCTGCACCACTGGTGGTTCCTTCTCATGGTGACTGGAGCATCCCTTTGATGCTGCCTCCACAACATCCCCACGGGCACACTGATGGGATTGGGGTTAGAGAAACAGAGAGCGAGGTGCATGCAGAGCTGTCTGCATGGCCAGGCACCTGGACAAGGGGAGAAAAAGGGAGAAAAGGGGAGAGATGGACACGCTGGAATGAGTCTGGTGAAGAACTATGAGGAAGATTGAGGGTTTGGGCTACCTGTTGTGCAAAGAGAGGCTGCAGGAGCAAAGAGTCTTCATCCTGGAGAAGGGTTGGCTCAGGGCAATCTTGTTAACGTGTATTAATAGCTGATGACAGGTGGAGAAAAGAAGTCAGGGCCAGACTTTTCTCAGTGGTGCCCAGTGAGAGGACAAGAGCCAACAGGCACAAACTGAAGTACAAGATAATCCATAAGAAAAGTTTATTCACTGTGAGGGTGAGGCAGTGGCACAGGTCACCCAAAGAGGTTGTGAAGTCTCCATGCTTGGAGATACT